AGACAGGGTAACAACAAGTACCATCTTTTAACGTCTTTTGGTATGACGCGGCCTGGGATCGAACCCCGGACATTCCGCTCTCCGGGCGGACGCTCTACCACTAGACCACGGAGGCGGTCCCAAAACATCCTGAACTATTCTAGGCTTAAAGGCCACGTTTCAAAATTATCATTAGTGAATATATGAAATACAGATACCCGTGATCACTAATAGGCTATTTTGGAAACTCAATTCATCGATATTTAGATTTCTAAACACACAGCAAATAACGACGTGTATGGCGATTTAGTAATGTGTCAAATATGGCGAGATTAACGATGTACCTTATTGTCAGAGGTCACTTTCAGTAAGTTTGTTTTGCCTAATATGACAGTGAATGATATCACATAAGAGGGAATTTCGAACAGAATGTAAACTGTAAAGTGTTTTAGTGTGCGTGATTTTATTCGACTTCGAAGTGAGGGTTGAAGAGGAGGGTCATATTATGTCGATGTGGCATCCAGGGGTTTACACTCGAAAACACAATAATGTTCCAAACAGACGTAGGTGAACAGTCAATGAGGTAAGTAGTCCGTCATAATCTGACCCCAGATCAACACCATTGAGTAGCCAATCACGGGCCTGGAATTCAATCTCACAGATTCGTTTGTTACCAGTTAATTCAAATGGGTTTCTTACACACCAATATCCCACATTTCACACTTGAGAAAAACTTCATTCCATATTAATAAGAAATCTCTACTGAACGCAGAGTCTATTGTACGATTCTGACTATATCAAGTGTTTATGAATCACTATGAAATAGTGATGATAGTGATGATACCAGGTGTACGTGAAAAGGTGAGTCATTCCGTTTGTAAATATTACAATGTCCCCTCCTAGCAATCTTTTTAATCAGATTAAAAGCCAGTCACTTATTGCATTTCTGAAGGAAATCTACCATTATGATTTAGCTTTGAACAGCAAAAAAATGTTTTATACATTTGACAGTGACATTTGATGCTTCAAGTCACACTTTATATTACTTGGAACATTTTCTATTTGACAGTGTGCTTTTACATAAGATTTCTCGCCGTGAACATTTGCAAAATGAATACGCAATATGGGTACATCAGTTGTGTTTTATCAGAAAATAAACACTAGATACGTCAGTTTCAAATGGCTAGTTTATACAAAATTATAAACTAACCTGTTATTATACGTATTTAAACATATCCGGTCACCCAATATTCTAATTCAATATAAGCCATGGGCTTGAAACATTTTATCCGTCTGCGGTAATCCCACAGGCTACAAGGCAGGGCTTAATTCACTGTATTCCCGGTAATCTCACAGGCTACAAGTCAGGGCTTAAATCTCTGCAATCCCGGTTATCTCACAGGCTACAAGTCAGGGCTTAAATCTCTGTAATCCCGGTAATCTCACAGGCTACAAGTCAGGGCTTAAATCTCTGTATTCCCGGTAATCTCTGTACAATACATATATAAACTGAGGGGCAAAGGGAAGTGCACCGGGTTTGCTTTTAAATAAATGAAAACTGAAACAACTGCTGTTAAATTTGATTATGTCCAGTTAACCATCATCGATTCCTGCAACAGTTTGTTAAATGTAATCTGTGGCTGGGTAATTTGCGTAAACATAAATTGGTTCAATGAATCCTGGGGTAGGGAATGAATTTGCAACCAGATCACCCCTGCCATGTTTGAAATGTTTTAAATCTGTGCCGAAAAAGCAAATCAATTGATTTTCAAAGGTACATTGTCTCAGATACCCATTAGCAGTTGTGTATTATGCAAAAAAATGTTTCAAATGTTTTAAAAGTTTAAATCAAACTATTTAAAAAACAGATCTAGATAAGACCCTTTGTTAGTATTCCTTGAGTGCTGACTAGTAACAGTTTATGTTTTAAATATTGTATAGCCAACTTAAGATATTTGCAATTGAACATTAAACATTATAAATATCAACTTAGAGGTATGTTTTTTTGGATCCTCGGTTTATTTATAACTGCAGACAAGAGTCATTGTTGTGTTGTCTTTTTCACCAGATATGGATTGAAGCATGCAGTTATGCTTTGCTTTCCTTGAATGTTGGCATGGGATTTAATTTAACCTTGTCGAGATACAACAAGGTCAACAATAACTGTTTACGGTAGGTGTCCTTGTAACACTGACCATGCTACCAGTGTGGAAAATAATTTGCATTTTGAAATGAAACAAACATATAATTTGAAACTCTACTGCGTGAATTGTGATCTAATCTGTAATTGTATTTATAACATTAAGACAAGCAATTGTAGCATCATTACTTTTTAAACGTCATCACAAATAATGGTAGTTGTGACATCATAGCCTGCAATGGTAATCACAACATCATCACTGTCAATGGTAATTGTATCAATACCTGAAATGGCTACTGTAACATCATCACTGTCAGTAGTAATTATAACATCTAAACCTGCAAAGATAATTCAAACATCATCCCTGTCAATGGTAATTTTAACATCATGACCTACAATATTAATTGTAACATCATCATCTGCAATGGTAATTGTAATATCTTGCCACGAAATGGTAATTGTAGCATCTTGACCTGCAAAGATAGTTGTAACATCATCGCTGTGAATGGTAATTGTAACGTCACCACATTCAATGGTTACTGTAACATCATAACGCACAATGGTAATTTAACATTGATCTGCAATGGTAACTGGAACATGGCGAACTGCAATGGTAATTGTACCCTCACCAGGAATGGTAATTGTCGCATCCTGAACTGCAAAGATAATTGTTACATCGTCCCTGTCAATGGTTATTGTAATATCATGACCTTTAATAGTAATTGTAACGTCATGACCTTCAATGGTAATTGAAACGTCATCACCTGCAATGGTTACAGTAACATCATCGCGCGCAATAGTAATTGTAACATCATGACCTTCAATGGTAGTTATAAGATCATCACTGTCAATGTTAATTGCAACACAACCAGCAGTGGTAATTGTTACATCCTCGCCTGCAATGGTAATTATAACATAATTATCTGTAATAGAACGTATAACACCAATGACTGTAAATGTAATTATAAAACCATCACCTTCAAGGGTAATTATAACATCATCACCTGTCATGGAACGTATAACATCATCAACTTGCATAACCTATAACAATACCATCATCCATTACCATCCATGAACAGTTCTATCTCGATTTCGATGAATATTCATTTCCATTGTAGAGACGCAGTTTGTGTTTGTATCGTGGATATGCTTGCTACTATCTTGGTTGGATTTTCCTTCTTTTCAATCATCGGTCACGTTGCCTACCAACGTGGAGTGACAGTGGAGGCTTTTGCGTCATCGGGTTAGTTAGCGCTGCTTTAGTCGTGGAGTGCATGTAACCCGGTGATGCTAATGATTGGAGGTTAATACTGAGGCTGGTACAGCAGTACCAGGGTGGCCCAGGAACCGCCTTACATACATTACTTACTGACATACATACACAGGAGTCTACATGCTTTGCAAATATTCGGGTATGTATTCCTTTGTTATTGTAATCGTGCCAGAAAACAAGGATCTTGGGTTCGAGTCCCGGTTCAACCTCACCATGTGTCTAGGTTTGTCTTGTGCTTGTGGGTTTCACCAAAGTGGTAAAATGTCTTAGACCTGCATCACTTCGGGATTTCCTCCCACATCAAGCTGGCAGGTTGTGAGCGACTTAAATTATGATATTATATTTAGCATCACTATGTCTTTTCTGCACACATGTCTTGTGGTTAAAACATTGGTGTCGTGTGCAGACCGAAAACCACATTGTGGCATATTTCGGTCCTGTATTAAATAAAGTCTTCCAGTGTTTTGGTTTCGCTCGATGGTTGTTAGAGTGTTTTTGTCTACGATAGGTCGTCCCAAGCCATATGGATGTTTGTGGTTGATTGACTATTACATCCTGACCACCGTCTCTTTCAGGCTTCAACCTTGCATTTATTGTGTATCCGCAAGTCCTGACTTATCTGCCCCTTCCACAGTTATGGTCAACCTTGACATTTATCATGCTGATGACGCTGGAAATAGATTGTCAGGTAGAATATAAAAGAAGAATAGGTGTTAATGAGTGTGTTATAAGGTAACAATGCCTGTATGAAATGTTCAAGAAATCTCAAATTAATTAGATATGATGATTTGCCAGTTGCAATATTTTTGAGGCACAAGAGGTGGAACAAACCTAACAGACACTGCTGACTTTAAACCAAACATTGGTTATACTTACTTGGGTTGACAATATAGACATGCTATGAAGCATTGATTGCATTTGTCACATTCGTGTTTCTCACGGATATTATATGAAAGCAGAAGCCCTCCACAGTGCACCCCTTGTGATGTGAAATTCACAGTACTCATTCACTGTGACGCTTAAATAAGCTTCCTTTTAGAAAATGCATTGTGTGGGACGAAAAACCACCTTATTTCATAAAAGCGACAAATTACTGTCTTTTCATGTCTATAAGTCATCTCTGCTGAAAAAAACGAGTCCATTGTACGATTCTGATGATAACAGGAGCATATGCTCATAAATCATCAGATATTCTAAACCAGATGAATACAGGTTTGTTCTTTAGAGCTGACTCATCAACACCTATTTAAATGTACAAATGTTAGTTGATGCATACTGTGTCTTGCAGCAGGAGGCCGTTTAACTACATAAAAAGTTTCACAACCCACCCAACAAGCAACATATCCTCACCTGACGAAGCTACCTTTTGTCAGTTATATATGCTTTGTTAATGTTATGAAAAGAATTGCTACGTCATAGTTTTACAGCAACATGTGAGACGTTTACGAGAGATGAAACAACTACACTCGTTTGGCCCCATTTCTATTTACAAGCACTCTGTTAGAAAGAAACCGATGTGTGGGGACTTGTCCATTGAGCTGTCTCTTGCTGCACGTAAAATGTTCTTTCATGTTGACATTTAATTTTACATTTTACAGTTGCCAGCCGTTGAAGTCATATCATCAGCATTTGAAGATATGTTCCCAAGTCTACGTAAGCGGCGATGGCTTCCAACAGCTCTGATCCTCTTAAGCAGTTTCCCTTTTGCCATCATCTATCTTTTACAGGTAAAACCTTTTTTGTACAATATATGGTCGATGATCAGTCCAGCTCTCACAAAAATACCTGAGTGACTAATAAATGTATTTTTCACAGGACTACAGGAGCAATCTTTCCTACTGACTGTCATTGCCCAGATAGAACTGACTGAAGCCAAATACAGAGATACCTATATACATAATAGTAACTGAACTTTTTCTATGGCCATCAGAAACATCTGTTAAAAGCAGAGTCCATTGTACGATTAGGGCTCTATAATAAGCATGTATTTATGACAAACAGCATCATCAAACACTGATGATACCAGGTGTTCGCAAAAAGGTGCGCGTATCCTACCCAAGCCACGGCACAGTCACAAATACATGCAATGGCAAGTCAATTGTTCACCTGAATTATTTTAAATGTCCACCACACGTCTACAAAATACATTTTGAAAGTTTCACCAAGGCCGTGAATGGTGTAGCCCCGATCAAACAACTTTTGAACAAGAGTATGTATCCTTCTAAAAAGTTTGAATGGGAATAAATCAAATTTATTTCAATTTCCAGGGTGGGATATACATAGTAACACTGGTGGAATGGTACGCCTATTTCCCTTCCACAGCGCTCTTTGCCTTGACGGAATGCATAGTGATGGGATGGATCTACGGTAAGAAGCCTGAGTGATGCTATAACACTTCTGAATTATTTATGAAGGAATATGGCATTTAATTCACCACTATAACGTCATTTTGCCTTCATATTCTTTCAGATCTTAAAGATCTCATATTGCAGAGAAGCATTTAAACAATAGATGTTTGAAGAGTATTACATGATCGTTAATAAATGAAGACTGGTGACCTTGAGGATATAATTATTCATAACCGTCTATTGTCTGACAAACCCCGAAATTGTGCGTGCATGTTCCTACCAAAATTGAAATTGCAATGTGTTGTGTGTTGTGGGGCTTAAGTCTTCGTACTTTGAGGGTCCAATCAGGACAAAGACAAGAGTGTTATATCTCCTGTTACAAGAGGTATGGGATATCAAAAATGATATGAGAGAACTTTCGGAATGGAAACAGAGGTTGCAATCTAGTTTCATCACTATTTTGCCTTTACACCCTATTGAATCTGTTTCGGCAGATAATCAAGACTGATTATTCCCCACTCGTGGTTGGTCAAAGCCTTCATTGCTTTTGTCTCCACTCGCTAACTATAAGAACCTCTGCATGTTTGGAATGAATCATTGCTTGTATTTCCCCAATGTGTTTTAATAGTCTTTTGATAAGAACTAAGTTCACTGTATATTGAACTCAGGTGGTCATTACTATGTTTATACCGTTAAGGCACAACGAGACTTCAAGCGGACGTCCAGCTGATGTGGGGGAAGAAGATCCCTGAGCTTTTCATCATGTTAATCAAATTTGCATCGCCATTACTCCTTGTGGTAGGACAGTTTCAGCTTTCAATTTCATTTTACTGAGTCTTGCATTAATGCAATTATTCATTTCAAAGGCAGCATAATTCAACAGATATTATAAGGCATTTCAAGGCAGATGATCACGTCCACACCTTAGTAGCAAAGACTATTTTCATTGTTATCTTATGTAATATTCACATATTTTTTCATATATTAATATATCTTATAAAAGTACTTTTGCGGTGTCTTTAAAATATTAGAAATAATACCTTTAGAATTCAGTATCAGAACATGCACATATCCCAATACCCTATAATCTTATTTTACACGCTTTGTCCCAAGATTGATAAATAATCCCCACAAGAAACCATTTCCTTTAAAATATTCTTGGGAGATGTATACTTGAACAAGGACATTTATTTCATTGTAAATGTTTTGTTGTTGTTGTTTTTAATTCAAGCGGCGAGAAGACTTTTTAAAAAAATATTATAATATCTTGGGAATCTATCAATTGGATTTTGTAATTTTATGTATTATGTGCATTGCACCAAATTATGGAAATGGTTTTGTGGCTTTTATTCAAGAATGCAGTTTAACTGTCAAATTGAATGTCATTGGATGTCCCAACACTGTAATTACTTTGTATGTGTAATGACAAGGGTGGATAAGAGCTATGTAGAGGTCTCAAGGGGTTGGTCCCTTTCTTCAACAGGTCAAAGCTTTGGAACCAATGAAGCGAAGAGAGCAAATAAATAAACTTGTGGCATGGTTCATGTTCATTTGATGGTGTTTAAAATTTAGAGTTTATATATTTTCTCCTCAAAATGTTTTTTGAAAATTTAGTTTTTTCTTGTAGGTTAAGAATAAGGGTAAGTGAAACTAAATAACATCAACAGTGCTACAACAAAACAAATGGGTGATCCACACAAAACACCATAGGTACACTATCAACCATTTTCATGGCATGACCAGGAAAGTCATCATAGATTATAGCACAATAGCGATTTTAGCCAACTGATAGTGGAACCAGCTCACGCATCAAAGATCGAATAAGTAATGTATGTAATAGCTATCTGCAAGTTCCCTTTGTGTCAAAACTGAATATCTAAAAAGTGTTATCACCTCATACATAACTACCACATAGAGTGGCCACATAGAGTGTCTCAAAAATGAATATATAAATTAATTGTTTGATAGTCATTACTGAGAAGTTGACGGCTGACACAGTAGACACAATTAATGCATAACAGTATCAAAGAAGTTGTTATCCATCAATTGTGTCTACTTTGTCAATATATAAATAGTTTTTGCAATTCATTCTTTTTTCCGTCTGACATCTTTATATCAAGAGGGGGCGTGTAAGGCCCAGTTGTCTTAGGTATCAGTCTCTGTCCTTCTTCCCTTAGTCGTACTAGAATCTTATGATCACTGGGTCAAGAGGAGGCATGTGAGACCCAGCTGTCTAAGGTATCAGTCTCTGTGCGTCCCTTTCTCGATCCCAGATTCACCCTGATTATAATTCTACCTTTGTCAGGGGCACACATCTGGGATCGTGTCCATTTTTCAGTGGAGTATAAATGACTGCGTGTGCTTTCCGTCACTGGCTTTTCTGATTCAGATTGCATTATTTACAGATAACTGGACTATTGCGGACTATCGTTAAACAACATTCACTCACTCAGTCGCCGTGCCATAGAATTTAAAGCACCATACCCGTTCTCGTGCTTTGCACCAAAGTGGTAAACGTCTAGGAACTGCTTCAATTCAGGCTTTCCTTCAACATTAAGCTGACACGCTGTGATATAGCTTGAATGCGGTTTCCAAAGCAGCATTTAACTAAACTCTCTACTGCACTCACCTTATTATTAGGAATATCTCGATCTCTATCTCAAGAATAAGAAATGCAAAGAATGGCACACCCAAGGGTCCCTGTCGTCTTTTCATCCAGATTACCTTCGGCTACTCCCTCTACTCCTACCGACCTCCTAAGTACGAGGACTACACCTTTCCTGCTTGGGCCACCGCCGTCGGCTGGATGATATCCTGTGCCTCCATTATTCCCTTACCTGCCCTCTTCATCTGGGCAGTTTGGCGGACTCCAGGAAACACTCTCATTGAGGTAGCACATACAGCAATATTTAGTGTGACCAACCGTCATGAGTGTCATATGGATGACAAGTATTCACACATGTTTTGTTTATTCGCTACACTAAAGATAGTATGGTAAAGCTGGACGAGCTGTGGTGAGCGGTTGGAAATGTTGTCGTCCTCAAAGTGTTGGCTCAAAGATTTAAAATCGACCACCAGGATTGGATGGACCAACGTTTGTTTATTGTTATAAATTATTATGTGGCACCTATTCTTAATTACACAATCATTTTTTGGTTTATTTCTTGGAGAAAAGATATAATTATGTTCAGGTCAATTTGTTACGTACACAATTTATGGTTATGATATTCTTATGTTTTGATACATTTCAAAACTATACAAATCGTAGCTTTCTTATTCATAGATTCTTGTTGAGCAAACTTTGGCCCAATATTACCATAGAACACTATACTATTCTGGAAAAGAAGCTATGAGAAATTTCAGTGCTTTTACTGAATGAACATGTCGTCACATTGAAGAGCTGTAAATTGATTAATCACAGTGTTATTCCTGGGGATGTTTTACATACTTTTTTACGATGTTTCAATTAATCTCTTGACGGTTAAGAAAGTCATGCCATTTTCACAAACTATACATTTCAGAAAATTAGACAGTCGCTGCAGCCAAACAAACATTGGGGTGAGCAAGCTCTGGATGCAGCCTCCAACGAAGTTCTACGCACTTAGAAGACATCAACTTTAACCATCGCAAAAACAAAAAGATTATAGATTCATCAAAGACCTGGTGAAGTCATGCCAGACCTTTGATGGTAGACATTCAGAGGAATATATTAAATATGGCACATTGCTTCTCCAATTGCTTGATGTCCTATGCTATGACCTTTAGACCTTCTTACTCAATGGCACGTATTTGAATGACAGTTGTGCGAATAAGGGTGCTGCCAAAAGAGCAGAACATGCTTATCCTGGCGTCATCACTGATTTTCAGTGATCCATTCACAAAAGACTTAATGCTCTTTTGACTTTTACGCAAATCTGTTTCAGCAAATATTTGAGACCGATTATATTCTGGCATTGACGTTTTTAATTTAAGTCATGTGCATTATTCCCATGCAGTATGTATATGACACAATTCAGCACAGACAGCCAGAAAGACGAGTATGTTTATTCAGAATTATTAGTTGGGTGGCCCAGAGAACATTAACTGATAATAGCATTTCTGTACTTGGTTTCAGACGTTTTGACAGTTATCTTCCGATAGCATACCATCAGATCCAGATGAATACGCAAATGAACGCAAAATTGTAAAAACGTGACGACTATCTCCTTTTTTGTATAAATGATACCCTAATCACCTGATGTAACCATACACCATACACATAAGAGCAAACATCAATAAAGGTGGCATTAAATCCATATTTTGGAAGAGTGTTGTATATTAACGGAAAAATGTAACTGTGCTTTATATGACGTGTAGTAAATGAAAATGAAAATAACAACATATCATTTAGTCATTCGTCTGATCAATGTTGTATCAAAAACATACCTGGTAATACGAGGCAGAGAGACACGCGGTAAAAGAGGTATGGAATGAACAATGTCAATACTGGCTGTGACCACCATTTGCATTGATACAGGCGAGGCAAGGGCGGCGATTTCGCCCCGGAAGAGAACGCCATTCTAACTGCCATTAACCAAAATGCTGTTCACATGAAACCTGGACTTATCTGTGAACCCGTACCTGGTTGCGTACGGTTCTGCCTCTGGTTGTTCTGAACCCAGGAATCGTCCGAACTGTTAATGTGGCAGTTTGGTATCGATTTCGCTGATGCCACAGCCGAATATGGATGTCTTCTTGACGTGACGTCACACGTGGACGAGTTACAAGTCATCAGTGTTGCCCTGTTGTAGATGAAGTCTCCAAAGAGACAAAATTATGTTTTGATAATGTCTGGCAACTTCGTTTTGTGCCATTCCTGTTCGCAGAATACCGACAATGCACATACCTTTATTTTCAGCAAACCGTGTCATTGCCAAAACGATATTTACGGTCAGACAACATTGTTTTTATGAGCACCTGATAGCTAAACATTCATTGTGCGTTGTTCACATTAATGAACTGCATATGTCCGTATATGCATCCACCAAACACACAAACATCCAAATTAACATGCATGTACAAATTGTGAATCACGACCTGTTGGTCGAGAAGATGTCCTCGTGATTATATATGCATTATTTAATCTCAGAATACATTTATTTTTATTGATCTTAATATGAAGCACAGTTAATTATTTCCGTTAGTATATAAACAAAAAGTCAACATATAAGTTTATAAAACCCTACGTGGGGTAGCAGCCAAGACGATTTTACAGGAAGGTTCTCTTAGCAATTGGTCACACGCCACTTTCAGCCAGAGGTGACGTGGTGTTGTCTCTGTGATGATGAATTCACGTTTCAAGGACATTGATATATTGTTCTGTTGCAACATACGTTGGTTTTTTTATTGTTGTTATTTTACTGTCCTTTCTCTCGACAAGTGTTTACCTCCAACCTGCTACTATGGCTTAATTTTAACTTACTCACTCACTTGATTTTGCTGGTGTCATCCACTCGGCCTGTCTTCCTCCTCCCTTCATGATGTATCTCAAACTGAACAAGTGTGTGAAACACGAACTCGTCATCTTCGTAGTAGGTAGCACATGGTGCCTATATAGCATTGGTGATTTGGGTTTAATATCTTCATTATATTTGTTATTTCATTTAAACAAAGGGGAAATATATAAAGTTCTATATTTGTTTCGCTAAACTTATGATACTTCACCACTCACTGATGTCAAACACTTGGACAGTGACATTGTCAATCTCATTAAAATCATGATGAAAGGTCGTTCTGACGTGGCACATCGTGGCTGGTCGGTATTAGTTCAAAGTGATGCCATGCTTCGAGAATGCTGCTGCATTATTTCATGGTCTTATCAATGACATGACTAATAGTGTCCGGGTGTTGAAACCTACATCCTAATTCAATCATGAAATGACTTGGAAAGATATGAAAATGATCTTTGTGTTAGCTTAAAGTGTATTTACGCTCTCCGGCCGCGTCATACCAAAAGACGTCAAATTTGGTACTTGGTGTTACCCTGTCTGGCATTAAGGGAGTAAAACAAGGACTGGTCGGCTCGGAGTCAGTTTACTGTGTCTGAGTTGGGTATTCATGTTAAATTGCGGCATGGTATCTCATTGGGCTAGCACTATAAATCGGCATCAGTCCGGACAAGAACAAGCAGCCACACACACACGTGCATGCACGTCGCTGTATAAGTGCAATAATCTTGGACGCGACGTTAAACCCAATTTCACCTCACCTCACCTGTATTTACGCATTTTGAATTCCGTCTACTTGTTGGTTCTACAAAATGCATGAAGCAATAATTTGTTTCTAAATTCAACTAAACACATTAATCAATCACTGATGTACTGAAAAATAAAGTGTTGTGGGTACAAAAAGTTGTTTGGCTTCTTGTTTCAGAGAAATAAATTGTGTTTTGAATATTCTGTCATAAACATATAATCTAAAGTCATGGTTTTTGCCTCCTGTCCTCCATAATTGCCATTTGTGGCAGAAGTAAGATCACTTGATGAAATCAGAAATTATCCTTTTTTTCAGGGATCCTCATTCAGGTTTAGTAAGTTTATTATTCCCCGCCACGAAGTGGAAGGGGGATATAGGAATTGGTGCCGTCCTTCCGTCCACCCGTGCTTCCGTCCGTCACATTTCGTTTCCGGAGCAGAACACAAAAGCCATGAGAGATATCTTAACCAATCTTGGCACATAGATAGGCCTAGTCGGGAACTGGTGCCTTTTGTAGTTTGGGATTTAAAAAAATAAAAATTTCGAGTTTCCATGGCAACTACTTTGACTAAGACTGAAAATTGCGGTAGTCCTCGTTTCCGGAGCAGATCTTGAAAACCATACCATATCTCTTAACCAAACCTGGCACATAGATAGGTCTAGTGGTGAACTGGTGCCTTTTGGTAGTTTGGGAGTTTAAAAAAAATTAAAAAATTCTAGTTTCTATGGCAATGGCTTTGACGTAGACTGAAAATGGCGGTATTCCTCATTTCCGGAGCAGATCTTGAAAAAGGTATCATATTTCTTCACCAAACTTGGCACATAATGTCATCTCGCAGTATTGAATACATTTCCTTTCCTGTTGGCACGTTCTGCATTGCTTGTGTGTATGTTCCTCCAAAAGTGTCATGTACACGGTTGTTGCATTCACTGACTAACTACATGCAGAAACTTCAGGATCTCTCAGATGATTGGTGCTGTACTTCTCACTACACCTCATGGCGACCCCTGCTCTCATTGATCTCTAAGTAAAGTAAGAACTCCCTTACTTCTCATTATTGTTAAAGTAATAACACAACTCATTACAAATACAACAGTGTAACTGATCTTAAAACTACACAACTGTATAAACACTGCCTCCTATCCTGTATATATTCTTGTCAACCATACACTGTACTTATTTCATAACGGTGTTAGAACCTGCACCGAAACCATCGCTCCTAATTGTAATAAAGAAGTTGTTCGTCCATATGTCTCATCCTTACTCATTACAAATACAGTTTAATATTCTATCATAAACTGCAGATGACAGAACAACACCACTAATAACCTTTTTTAGTGCTGCAATTAGGCCATTTACAAAAAGGTCCAGTGAACATAGTTCACAGGAGCTAATGCATTGCACACAACCGGACATGTCATATTGGCGGGGGATATGAGTATTCCATGCTTGTTTTGTAGGCCATCGGCCCATGTACACAGTTGATACAACAATATCATATATATGTGGCAATAAGGCGGTAGATGAGACAATATACTTACTATCAGGTGCATACTTACATTTTAGAGCTTCTTTAACGAACTTAGCACGTTTGTTAAGGATTGACACATCATTAGAAGTCAGTAATTTATTAAATTTACAAATGTTTGATGAAATATGCCACTTCAATATGTACGTATTTCTCAATCATACATATGCCTTGCAAACAAATATGAAATGGAGTTCATCTTCAGTGGTATTAGTATTACACATCCTACAAATTCGGTTAACAGTTATAGCTTCTTTACATCTGATATTACAACACAACGGCAGTTCATGCAATCTCAACAAACATATATCTTTTTAATTCCCTAACATTGATGTTTGTAACATAATATTCAACAGTCAGCAATGACTTAATATTCTTATAATGTACAAGTCATTTTGATAATACTAAAACTATTTTGGTTTCCACAATCTTCTAATCTCTGTCTGAACATTGACAGAAAATATCAAAATGTCTCCAATATCTTGACTGACCCATGCATATCCCAAACCATACGTGTGTAACAACAATCTTACACAGGATGCCCATGTCTTCCTTCCTGCTGAATCTAACTTCTTAATACGTAGGTAACATTGTCTGGGCAACGATCATCTGACATTCAATTTACACCAGTACTTTACACATTTTTGGTAGTAATCTATATAAAGTCCATGTCTACCGCAGTCAGCTAAAGCTGCACTATTCGGTACATGTTTACCAACACCCTATGCATATTTACAAAAATTATTATGAAATATTTCAATAAGAGCTCTTTCATGGAAGGCCCACACCTCCGCCCGATATAACAAAATAGGTTTTATTTCACAATCAAACAACTTAAATAACATATTTAGGGAATATTTTGGTATTTATGCTGTAATTGCTTTATAACAAACAGAGCTTTACTGGCTTTGGAACAAGAGTATTTGTACACACTGTCCATGACAACCTGGTGGAAAACATAATACATAAATAATTATGATACGTGTATGCCTATTGTAGCTCTCCAATCAAAATACTAATTCTCATAAAGTCGTAAATAACCACCATTTAAAAAAACTAACATTTCTGTCTTATCCATATTTATCTGTAAACCCAATGATTTACAATATTTACATAAAATGTCAATCTTTCTTTGCAAACCAATAAGGCTGCCATCAAAAATACATAAATCATAAGCATACAATAATAACAGTAGTTCCAAATATTCTACAACTATGAATATACCTCTTACATCTGCATCTCCAATCATGGATTGAGTTTCTAACATTGCAAATAAAAACGGGCTGATAACACAACCTTGTCTGACTCCACTTAAACTATCAAAATAATCAGTAATAGTAGTGTTGGATACTCTTACAGCTGCTTTTACATTTGAATACATATTTGTCGGTACAGAGAATAATTTACCAGGAACGCCATTATTCATTATTGAATACCAAAGTTATTTCCTATTAACAGAATCAAATTCTTTCTTGAAGTCTACATAAATACAGTCAAGACGTCCGCCACTTTCAGATTAATACTTTTGTACAAGACATTGCAAAGTGAAAATATTATCCGTTGTGCAATAGCCGTTCTTAAATCCTGCGTGGGCCACAGGTATATTGTTAAAGTGATCAGAAAAAAACCGTTTATGACGCGCATTTAGAATAGAGGTGAATAACTTCCCAAAAATGTCCATCAAAGATGCCTCTATAATTATTAAGACAGTCAAAGCTTCCTGTTTTATCGGGTGGTACAATAACACTCTTAGCCCATTCGGATGGAAAATTACGCGTTGACAAAATATTATTATACATATCAACAAATATGGAATTAAAACAGAACTGCAACATTGGATCATCTCAGCCTTAATACCATCTGGGCCTGCAGCTTTATCCAGCTTCAGATCTTTTATGGATGATTCGATCTCTTCCTGTGTAATATCACCATTAAGAATATTATTTACATCATCATCAGTACAGAAATCACACAATTGTTCATTATGGTTATTTATAACATAATCTACCTGCTCAATAATATCCGAGTCCACAAGTACATCAGTATGGTTTAAAATGTTCTTAAAATAATCAAACCAATCTTCTTGGCAAATCTTGTTGGAAACAGTACTACAACTTGTCTTGTTTGTCAATGCACTTATCTTTTTCCAGAATGTTTACTTTCTCCACTCCTGTCTACAAGTTCACGAACACAAGTCTCTTCGTATTCTAATCTTTTCTTCCTGCATAAAGACCTGTAACTATTCCTTAATGTAGAATATTTAGAAAGAATCTCCTTATCACCAGTAACTTTAAACTTATCCAATACATTAAACCTTTTTGTCTTCATATCCTCAGTCTTTATCGAACCATTTATCTCCAGATGTACGTTTTGATTTTCTACCTCTAGAAAGTAATCCGCATGAAATAGAACCATTATGTACAGCACTGGTCAAAGCTTCAACAGCTAAATCAACATTAAATGACAATAAATGCATAAACTCATCCATGTGAAGTGCAGACAATGACTCAGAAACATTATGTTTAAAGGTATCACATATTTCATTTCTCCATGTATATCTAGGAATAATATTTACATGTATTTCATTAACATCATCAACCTGTCTATCACATCAATGGAGGGTAAGTATGATAGGAAAGTGATCTGATTCACAGCGAGTATGTATGCTAAAGTCGGAAATGTTGTCAAACAAAGTAGTTGAGCATAGTATATAATCATCCAAACTAGCTCCACCCTCCTTAAAACAAGTAAATGATCCGTCCTTATCCCCAGCAAATCGTCCATTAATAATATGGAAAGAAAAAGTACAACAAAAGTCTACCAGATCCCTTCCGTATGTATTACACACATCATCTCTGGTACTGCGGGGAACGTCAAATACGTCCGATATATACTCCGTGTCTTCTAAACATGTAATAAATATGTTGTTGTCGTCGATAATAAAATCTTTCAGATTACCACACCGTGCATTATAGTCACAAGGAAGAATAATTTCGCAATCTGGATGTTCATATAACACAGCAGACAAGCTTTTATCTAAGTACTCTATACCCTTATGGATTCTATTGTCTGTCATTACTGGAGAATTTACAGGATGGATATATACAAAACCAATAAGTAAATTACGTTTGAGATTAAATATGCTCTTATCAAATAACATAAATATCATGTCTGTGTAGTCAGTAATAACACGGCGCAGACCATGTAACAGTGAAGTGTGAACACA